GTTGTGGCAGTGGAAAGACTGTTTCTTAAAGACCACTTTAATTTTAAAGTCTACTCTACACACAGTAAAAATAAAGAGAGGGTAGAGCTCAGCGAACAAATACGAGTCTCATGAACTAAAAATAAAATAAAAATCTACTCTCTCCAAGGTCTTTTACTGTCTCAAATACTTCTGTTTTCAACCATCAGATATTACTAGTAAGATGTCAACCTCTCACTAGAAATGAAGAAGAAAAAGTAATAAAGTCAAAATGGGAAAATGTGTAAAGTGAGATACCTAAGTTTCCAACCAATCTATCCACTGACAAGTTTTTACTAAATGCCAAAAATGCTCTGCAATGTGCTTGGCACACTGGTAGACATAAGAGAAGGCGAGGACAAGATCTGACCTTGCAAAACTTAGAATCTAATTTGGGAGAAAGAAAAAAAAAACTAACATATTGTATAATCTGGGAAAATTATTAAATCAGTAAGACTGATTACACCTATAATCTTTACTTTATAAGCAGCCTGGAATCCAAATTTTATTCAGGTCAACTGTTTGGAATTCAAAAGCACTTTCCCACAGAAGTAATGCTGTACCAAAAGTTAGGTTCCCAGGGAAATCCAGGGAGTTTTTAAAATTCATATTACACAAGTAGTATAGAATCCAACTATATATAGCAGTGCTTCTGTGGGAAAATATGTCTAGAATTCTACCTTAGGATGCAAGGAACATATCTTCCTGTGCTGCCAGAAATGCGGTGGGATTAGGATACCTTTTGCCAAAACCAGACCATTTGGGAGAATAAGAATTTCCCCCAGTCACTCATGGAGATCCTCAAAGGCTCTACCTGGGCAAAGCCTAAGAGCACGGATTTGGAAGGAAGGGTGAAGTGTGTGGCATCGACTTTGGGTAAGACCAGATCCTTGGTTTTATTCTGAGAGTCCCACAGGCCTTTTCCTCTATTACAATCTGTTAATTCTGACCCCAAGTCCTCTCCTTTCCTGGTCCGCAGAGGAAGAGAAAGCAGTCTCACAGTTTCCTTCTCATTTCCTGAGGCAAACAGATAGTCCTTGTAATGGCTTTTAGGGTTGATATAAAAAGTAAAGGATACCTGTAATCATTTATAATGTATTTTCCATTTAAACTCTGTACTTCGGTCTCTACTTTCCTTTCAAGAGTACTGCCATCAGAAAATCTTAATTTGTTTAACAATGGTATTGTGGTTGTTTTAAAAACAGAATCCTTATCTTTTAGAGATAACATTCACAGAAACAGTGGTATGTTTGGGATTTGTTTCAAAATAATCCAATGGGGAGATGTGGGAACGGTGAGGTACAAATAAGGTAAATTGAAGCTTAGTAGTGGACGTTAATACACTATTCTGCCTATTTTTGATGTTTAAATTTCCCATAAGACATTGAAAACAAAACAAAATATTACCAATGTTGGGAACCCACCTCAACCCTGAACTACTGCTGGAATAGGGTGGGGATGGGGAAATTAAGTCATAGCAGCTGAGAATGAAGATAGAAGTTCGCAACTGTCTATTCACTGGAGTCAGGGCCTGCTGTAGGTACAAGAAGAGCTCTGAAAAGGGAGAAAGCAGTATGGACTGAAGTAGCAAGAACAAGTAGGAGATAGAATTTTAAGTTCAGCTTGAAAGAGGAAGGTTTAGTTGGCTTGAAGGTAGACAAGTTAAGGAAAAAGCATGAATAAGGACAGTGATACGGAAAAAAGCAAGCATACTGCATATGGAGTAGTAGAGGAGTGACGGGATGATGTTTAAGGACGATTAATTGAGGATAGTGGGTAGGACTACAGTTTGGGGACTGCTGCAATAATTTAGGTTTGAATGAATTTGGTCCTTGGCAAAAATAAGCAAGAGAAACAAAACAAGAAAAGAAGGCAGATAGGGTGTTAGACTTAAAGAAGATTTGCAAGATATGATAGGTTTCAATTGAGACTGAGTGAGCATGTGCTGACTATCTGAGGGAGTATAGAGAAAGTTCCAGACAACAGACCAAAGCTCATGGGAAAATAGGAAAGGAAACCAGAGATAAAGCAAAGGTGCAGTCAAAATGAAAGAAAGGAAACAGTCTAGTACTATGGACCTCAAGGGAAGAAATGCTTCAAAAAGGCAACAACGGTTAACAAAACCAGAACCAAAAGAGATGTTAAAAGAGGTAAGAACTGAGGCAAGGTCACAGGATTTGGCTATATTATAGGAATCCTAAGAGAGAATAGTTTTAGTAAAGTGAAAATGAAAACCAGTTTGTAGATGGTTAAGAGGAGAATAGGGAGATAAGCGAGAGAAGGTAAAGACCTATTGAAGTAAAGAAACAGAAGAAGGAAAGAGTAGATTAGAGGATGAAACAAAGAGGTAGCTGTGTGACTTGAAAAGATTTTAATTTATTTTTAACAAATAAAAAAATCTCCCTCTACAACAGGAGGGAAAGAAGTCAATGCTACATGTTGTGTATATAAGGAGAGCAGTGGGAAGTAAGAGAAGGAGAAGCTGGGCCAGCTCAGCGAGAACACTGGAATAAGGAGCATAGATTTTATACTGTAGCTAAAGGCAAGCTATAGATAGACCAATGAAGCAGTCTGAAAGCATCATTTTAAGAAACATAATCTGATGGAAGAATATAGAATATAGGTGGGGGGAAGTGTATGTTGAGAGAGAGAGGACTAGAGGTAGAGAGTCAAGTTTAAGAGTATTTTTTTTTTTTAAAGAGAATTTCATACTATCTAGGTATTGCGACTACAAGCCATCTTCTTTTACCTTCTTCCCCCTACCCTAGAGTAATTTCTGGGGCAGCTTTGAAAATGGCTGTGTTCAGTCATACAGGAAAATCAGTCAGACTTTGGTCTCATGGCAGTAACATACAATGGCTCAATTAGGGCATAAACAGGCAATCTCAATTTAAGGATTCTAAAAAGCTCACAGGAGCTTCTGGAAATTAGCTATAAGCACTCCTTTTCTCCCATGAAAGGAAAGAGCTGCTCCTCTAAGCCCATGACCTGCGTATTCCCCTATTTGGCCACTACTCATTCATTGAGATCTCAATTTTGCCTTAAGTTACATATAAATCATATAAATATCTTTTGAGGCATAATTTTTGGATGCTGAGGAGATGTGGTCAGGATGTCGTTTAGATTAACCACAACATATTAGATCAGATTCTGACAGGTGATTAAGTGCTTTCTTCTACACTAAAACAAGAATGTGCAAGAATGGGTATATTAGTTTATAAAATTCTGTTATGGTGTATTTTCCTAATTATAATATTACCCAAATTTGAAGGATTAAAAAATATTCCTTTGCCTGTTAAAAGCTCTAACATAATATTCACATCCTATGGGTGAACATGTAGTTCATACTAAATAAGTAACTCAATCTGAAGGCTTGAAAATGGAAGCAGTGAAGGACAGATACAGATTATAGTGTGTCCTTCTGGTTTCCAGTTTGTCCTAGGCTTTCCTGCAGTTTTCAGCTTTTCTTCCTGACCATTAAATCTATGAATCTTCAGCTACTTTAGCCTACACCGGCCTGTAGAATTCTTCACGTGCTCTCACAATTGTATAAGGACTAATCTCTATAATAAATCCCAATTCTCCATCGTTAAAGTGGTTTAGCTTTTCTCCTCCAACCTTGATACATTCATTTTTTTTATTTTAAGTAACAAAGAACAATGAAATTTCTTACCACAACTGAGACTACAGAGTTGCTCAACTCTATGTGCCTACTAGGGAAAACAAAGATAACCTCCTTATCACAATTTCCATGCCCAGCAAGTATGGCGGCAGTGGGCAGGCCAACACTTAAAGCCAACAACTATGCAATCACATAACTGGGTGGAGAAAAAAGAGGCACAACAGTAACCTCATAAGAAACTATAATGCACTGTTCTTTAGAAACAAAAATGACAGGACTGAGTTATTATTTGTAAGGCAAACATTCTGATTTCTGATTCTTGTGAAGACAGGTTTGCAATAGATCCACCTACATCTAAAGTGTCTCTCTCTACTTACACAGGCAGAAGAAAGGGATGGTCTCCTTTAATATTCACTAGTACTTTATTTATGAAAACTACATCTAAATTTTCAAGGTTACTTTTATTATCTCCTCCTACCCACAATAACATATCCATATTTATACATTTACCTGAAATTCATCCATGATACTGAATGTATACTCATGCCTGGCTACTACGTGATGACAATTCTTACACAGATCTGCCAAAAAAGAGAGAGACTTAAATAATTAAGTCTTGGAAGGTATCTAAAGACAGTCAAATTTCTATTCTCAGCATGGTACTGCTTTAAAATAATTATAACTGTCATAGTTAACACAGCAGGAAACCCATTATAATATCTACTTTGAAAAGAAATCCAGAATCTGTCACATAGCAACACTACATAATTAAGGGCCTGAACTCAGAGACTTAATGTACATATGTTAATTCCCATTGAAATCTCTCTATGGTAATCAATTAACAGGTAATCAATTAACAGATACATGTGTTTTTAAACTAGTGGGACCTATCTAACCATGTAAAAGCTCGTATTCTCAGGAATGATTTAAACTGTGCTACTATAACCAATCACAAATAAACAACCAATGCTAGACGGTAAAGTAAAGTTCATGGTAACAAAAGACTAGAAAAAATATTATGATAATAACTATGATTTATTCAGTGTTTACAGTATGCCAGATACTGATTTAAATTCTTTTTATCGGTTTATTCCCTTAATCTTCTCAAAAACTCAAATGGGCAGATACAATTATTAGCATCTTTTTAGGGATAAGGAAACAAATACATACTGTGGTTAAGTGACTAGGAAGGCTACTGAGTTAGGAAGGGTCGGAATCAGAATTCAAACCCAAGCATTCTGGCTCCAGAGCCTTTACTCTTAACTACTATTACCTACCTGAAATGAAATAGAGTTTATTTTTATTTTTAAATTTTTATTATTTTTTAATTAATTAATTTTTTAAATGGTGACATTGGTTAACGAAATCCAGTAAGTGAAATGAAATAGAGTTTAAAGGGCTATATCTAAAAGAAAGAAAAAGGTTCTTTTAATTTAGAACATTTTTTGATAGTCTGACTCTATTCTAAAGGCTTAGTGTCTCTCATACCCCTCTTGCAAAATATTATTATTCGCACATTTATTCCTCATGTATTCAGGACATACCAAAGAATCAGGAGATAAGCCAAAAGGAGATGTGAACAGTTTAAATATTTGTCACAATATCTGGGGACTAAAGTGTATATGTACACTTTAATTTACTCATAGAAATTCTTAGTATCAACCTTAGAACTGATTTATTTTTATTATACACGGTTTGTTTGGTTTTCCAGTGAGGATGAGGAGCCGCATATGAAGGTAGTATATTTACAGCAGGAAAAAAAAACAATAGACTAACGGTGAGATAGGAGACAACAAAAACTGTGAAAGCAAAAACAAGACTAAAATACCATGGCATCCAGGGCCACTTAGTATTGGGGCACACAGCCCTCAACATTTTAATAGCTGTTGGAGAACATCCAACAAGTGCTTTGCTTTGATTAAAAAACAAAACAAAAACAAAAACAAAAAACTCTAATAGAGTATAATTTACAGACAATAAAATCCACATGTTGTAAGAGTCACATAGATGACCCTAAAGTTTTTTTAAAAAGTCCCTATATCTTGTTTCAGAAGTCATAAAGGATTTAAAACAAATGAAAAAAAAACAAAAAACAAAAAACGGGTGCCTGAATCATAAGCTTGAGTTATCTCTGAGTCACTTAAGTAGAATATCTGATGCTAGGTAAATGAGGTGTTATAATTTCCTCTTAAAAGCCTAACTGGCAACTATGTGTTGCAATATAATATTGCAATAGGCCTCATAATACTTTGCACAATATTACCAACTTCCAAATGCCATACCAGCTAACAGACTTGCATGAGAAAAGGTCTACTTACGATCATAGGTAACTATTTCTTCTCCATCTTCCTCTTTCAAAGATTTGTTTGTGATCAGCATAAAATCTCGCTTATTGCACACTGCACATCCTGTAAAGTTCAGCA